GTTTTCTGAATAGTCGTTATTTCGTAATATGTTCTTTAGTTTATCTATTTCGCTATCTACGCTATCCTCAGAACATAATAGTTTGATTCTATGGCTGAGACATTCAAACAAATTTATTTTTTATCGAAGATGTGCAGAACTGTGAAAAAAGTATTTAGAAAGATTCGGTGATAGGCTGTTATCTGTAAGAGATCACCGTTATACTTTGTTAAAGAGTAGAAAACTCAAGTGAGACAAACATTACGTTCCTTTCTATTTTTCAATTATTTTCAATACAGCATCTGCTGTTAATGAAACAAAAATCTTAGGGAGTTAAATATTGATACAACTGTTGTACAAACTGATTATATTACAGGAAATCATGATGAGAAATGTTTGACCATTAGTAAATGACCCCTCTAATTTACAGATAACACAATTTAGAAGTATTCGTGTCGTAACAGATGCAAACGTACATCATTTTTAACATATAACATTGTTAAATTCATTAATACATGGATTATTTTTGGTCTTTGTAAAATATCCCAATAATCATAGACTTATAACTGTGGAACCTGATGATGAAGTTATTGTGATCAATTATTAGCTCAAATATTCTTCGTTCTTGAATATTCTATGAAGATTTCTAAACTAAGGGTAATTACTGAAATGCTAATATTTATTAATAAGTAAGAAAACATAAAATACTTATAATTCTTTTATATAGTTTACTAATTATATAAGCTAATTTTACAATTGATTGATCACTGGTTGGTGATCAATGTCATGCATGTCTATTCCATATTAGTGCAGATCGAATGCTATCGACCATGTTGCAATGTGGCCACCAGGCTAAGTGACTCGGCACTGCGGGCGCTATTGTGAGATTAGATGGTGGTTGGAGGTAGTCGACAGGAAACCTTGGGTCCGGGTCTCGTGCTACTTGGCACTCGTCAGCAAGGTGTACCTGTAATCTCGGGGAAACTGGTGCTCCCCGACGGATTCGACCCCGTGTCACTGAGCTTCATAGTCAGAGGCGTTACTACTGAGCGTCTCTGACTGTGAGGCTCGGTGACACGGGGTCGAATCCGTCGGGGAGCACCAGTTTCCCCGAGATTACAGGTACACCTTGCTGACGAGTGCCAAGTAGCACGAGACCCGGACCCAAGGTTTCCTGTCGACTACCTCCAACCACCATTTAATAAACTAATTTTTGTCATATTAGACTTCATTTTCAGAATTGCATTATTAATGGTTAGAGTATTGTCTTTTTACAGGACTATGGGTATTTTTATTATTATGCATAGGTTACATAGTACCTTCTATAACTAGGTTAGATTAGCTAATCACTAAATTTATTTTTAGTTAGGATCGGCTAATGATTATCACTTATAATATGTCAATATACATTTAATTCAAGTTAGTCAACATAATACTAGGAACGAAATATATAATCAAATATTAAAAATGAGTCTGAATATAATAAATTGTGTGGTTATAATCAGTATAGGGTTGTGGAGATTGTTAAGTTTCACTGGAATCGTAAACTAATCAATGTTAGGTCACCACTGAGAACCTATAAACACTGGGTTGCTGTTTCATCCCAGTACGTGTTCCCTAAGTCGTTTGCCAGCACAACCATGAATGAGAGAGTAGAACCGAAACCTTCAGTCTTATTCATGAACGCTTAACCTGTAGATTATCGAACCGGGATTTAACAGTGTTAATGTCTTACTTAAATGAACTGCCTCTCACGAGATATGGTTGAACTCCACTGGTCACGGCTTCTTAATAAAACTTTGAGAATTCTCTTTTAAAGCTGTTCACTAGTGAGCACATGTTAATTGCCAGTATATGATTGTAGAGATCGTTGAATTTCACTGAAATCATGAAGATTGTGGCGCAATATCATGGATTGATTAAAGTTACCTATTCACACCGTTAGATCGCGGCTCAGGTCAAACATTCGTTAATGAGATTGAAGGTCTTTGGTTAGACTTCTGAACGCAGGGCCGTAAATAGGTACTGTTAAGGAGTCATGTACGAGGACGCAACGGCTGTTCTATGTTTTCAAGTTTTCAATGATAGTTTAACATTGATCGATTCATGATTTCAGTGTGTGGTTATTATTTCGTTCATGATTATAATGATAGATTTTTTAAGTTATTTAAGAGATCCTTTGAGTTTTTTTTTAAAAGAATATGTGTTTACTCCTTGATTCATTTATTCTATTTCATATACTTATTCATTTTTATCTTCACTTTTAAGATCACTCATTCATTCTTATTAGTCCGTTACATAGAATGATAAATTAACAATAATAACATCCTATTAACTAGATAGATATTTTATTAAACAATCCCACACAGAATGTGATTGATTGATAAACTTATTTGACATAAGTTTCTGTCAGTTATCATTTTGTTTTGTTTGATTTATTCAGAATTCAAACAAGGCAGAAAAAGTAAACATTAATAAAAACAAAAGAGAGAAAGAATCATGATAACAATGTTATATTCTTAATAAATAATTAGCTTCATATATCCATCGTTTATCTATTATCGATTGTTTTTTTTTGTTGTTATTGTTGTTGTTGATGATGATGACGATGGTGGTGATAGTGATTATGATAACTGATCAGTTTGAAGAAACAAGTAGGCAACTTTCCAATAAGGTTTCATTGACTGACCTAGATAAAAGACTTTAGGTATATAATTGTTTTGCACTGTATTGTCATTATAAATCAACTTTATTGTAGAAATTACGGGTGATGAAAGAGTACAGTTCTTATCTTTTCTCCTATGTTTCCATATTCACGATAAATCCCATTCAACATGTCTTGCTAATTTTTATTCATGTAATATATTATACAAGCTTAATTCGTTTATCTATATCAATATAAAATATAATTTAAGCCAAATCTCATAAAACCGTTTCAACTCAGTCAGTCAGTCAGTTATAACGTAGGATCAGGCACATATATGCATCGGTCCAAGTTGCCACACCTCATTAGCACAACAAGATGAACACTAAATTCATGGAAGCAGATATTTCAATGATAGCAATATATAAATGAAAGATTGTATATAAGGATATAGTACAGGAAGAAAGAATTAGTTGGTGGAAAGAAAGGTACAACGTAATTCTAATCTCACAGTTTAAGGGAAGATAGAGAATGTATACACTCACGCCATTGTGATCGATTCTTAGCCATGTCACAAAGAGTCTCCAACCATTGGTTACGATAGTCACGCGGACCCCAAACAAGTAGTCTGCATCTACCAACATGGCTCAAACCAGATGTTAATAACTTCAAGCACTGATGCTATGTTTTGGTTTGGCCAACCCTAACTTTCTTCCAACCATCTCCAACACTAGTCAGCATTACGCGTCAAGGTAATCGGTTTTCAGGCATGCGTACCACCTGGCCCAGTCAGCTCAGTCGATGTACGTTCACAACTTCATCAAATGATTTGCCATCACTCCCTAATAGCCTACGTCCAACCTCTCTATTACTTGGTGATCCCAGCAGATGTAAGCAATATTTCTAAGACATCTGTGGTCAAATTCTTGTAGCTTACGAGTATCTTCTACTCCTAATGGCCACGTTTCGCAGCCGTAGAGTGGAACGGAACGAAATGCCGCACAGTATACGCGTCCTTTCATTGGTAGTTTACGTGTTAAATGGCACTAAATTATGTGTTATATGAATGAATTTGTCAATACTTAAGTATGTAAACATGTATGTAGATACATTTGGTAGATTGTATTTTAAAATGAATTTCAAGAGGATGATACTGTATATTCTGTATGAAGATTAGTTAGTGGAATGGTGAGAACCATGGAAAAATGGTCAGGTAGTTTATAAGTGAGTTTGAAATTTTTCAATCATTTACTCTTACAAATAGTTTCATGGTATGCCTATTCAGCAACTCATTGATGATCAGTCTTCAAAGTAAATGAATTTTTAAATCAATGCTTTATTCAAGAAAACTACATATAGTTCGTTAATCCTTAATGAATGTTTTGTAATGAATATTTCGAGATTCTTATGAAGCTATTTGGCTTACATAGTCAGGCTTATGCAGAAAGAAATGAGGTTTTACAGTTTTACCGTGTAGAATATAGTATTTTGTTCTCCACAAACTGAAAAAAATTTTGTTTTTTATTCAAACCTAAAGGACGTTATGGAGTCATTGCTATAAGAGGTTTAAAAATAAAGAATTAATGTAGTTTATCATCTCTCGAACTCGTTTTTTACTAACCTCAGTTTGTGATGATAGAATTTCTCCATAGTAAACAAGTTTTCATAAACATACTTATTCATTATTAAAATTTGGCACTATTCTAGTGATTTTACAACTAAGAATAATGAAAATGAAGGTAATTTTCAAAGACGTTTGCGCTTATACTGTGCTAAGCATTAGTTCAAATTCATATCAATAATAATAATAATAACATCATGCTTGTTGAATGAATTAATGGCTATCTGGAATTAGTAGCCCAGTGGATTAGACTTTAAGTGTCTGAATTGAAAGGTATCTGGTTCTGGTCCGGATGTGAATATCAACAGTGGAATGTAAGAATATCAAGCTGACGATTACTATATTGAACAAAATGGGTTTTTTGGATCCCATTGTTAACCAAAATCCACCCATTCTACAAAATACTTCACCATCACGTCTTGAGACAGTTCTTAGCATGTACTGAATTCACTTGTTAGCTGTTGAAAGCTAGACAGTATTGCAAAGTAGTATCCACTCATGACCCCTTTATAGGACAAACAAAAAACCTTAAGGTAGCATCTTGAGCTCATTACATCAATACTTTGGAATCCAAGAGTTCCCATTTTCGATTTTGAATGACAGAACGATCAAATATTAATTCCTCGACAATGATATACCTTTTACCATTTTAGAAACATAAAATAATATGTATTTATTATCATTCGTAAATTGTACTTAATCATGTACTCCTGTACACCTTTGATTTTGCATGCTTATTTTTCAATTTGTTTGTAGAAAACTACAAACTGAACTAAAACATACTGAGCAAGTTGTTAAACGTCGTGTTTCACTATCAAATCAAGATGTTACAAAGCAAGTTTATTGTTGTTTACTCTGTGGACAAACTCCATTACCAGAAGGTCAATATTCTGAACAAGACTGGAAAGTATGTCATGATTGTCAGAATACTCTGTGCCCAAACTGTGTAGTACAGATTGGTAAAACTGTTGATTCTGTAAGTCTTACACCTTTTCAGTAAATAAAATTTCTTATAATGATTGGTTTTCATTATTATAGATTGTTATTATCATGATGCAGAATGCCTCCGATAGACACAGTCAGTAGATTGCAAAACAGCTTTTGAGGCTTTGCCTAGTTGTCGATGAGGCTTTCTTCAGTTTTATAGAAGCTTTGGTTGTTAGGAAACTCAAACCTTCTATATGTACACATAAATTGTTTGCTCTAAACTTACATTCACTCTGTTAGCTTTTGATTCATTTTAAGGCCTATGACGGTATGATGACTTCTTATTCTACCTACTTAAAACTATTTTTTTCTTTTCTTCATTTTCAATTATCACTTTATATTTCTTGAACTTTGAATCAACAAACCATTATTAGTTTAGATGCAAAAGTGTCCTAACAGATTGAAATGTGTAATGCAAATACACCGTATTTTTTATCATCTCCAATTTCTCACTATACGATCTAAATAACTAGATCAAGAAAATATATTATACACATTTAGGTGTAAAACTGTTTAATGGTCAAGAGAAAAAAGCATTTATAATAATGTTTTTTTAACATCATAAGGTTATGGAGATTGTTGAGTCTAGATTAATATTATGAATGGATCAATGTCAGACCATTATTGAAAACCTGCAAACACTGAACGGACGTTTCGTCCTAATATGGGACTCCTCAGCATATGGGACTTGAACTCAAGACCTTCAGTCTTACGTGTGAGCGCTTAATATTTAGACCAATGAGTCGGCATCCAACTGTGTTAATGTTTAATTTCAACCGATCGGCAATATTGCTGGACCTTCGACCGCTGTCTTCAGTAACTGCTCTACACGTGATACGGTTAAACTCCACTAGTCACGGCCTAACAGTAGAATTCCAGAAGATCCATCGTGAAGCCAGTGTTTTTTACTACTTAATGTGGCGTCTATATTTATAAGAGGAAAATTTCACTAGAAATGATTTTATTCTCTGTATGTCTATAACTAGCAACCAATGAATTTATGCAACGGTACTAATTCTCAGGTCAAGTTAATACAGGAAGATAGATATCTTAGACATTTTGCTTATAATCATACAATACAATCGAATTTAATTATATGCTACGAAATATATATTTCTTGAAATTGGTACCTCGATGTTTTTTACATCACATTCTATCTAAGCCATATGGGATCTACGAAACTTTGTGTACAAATGTGTTAAACATCTTCAGTTAAATGAACCTGTCTCATTGTAGATAAAAAGAAAATGGTGTGAATAAACGATTAATATCTTCATGTTATTTTCTCCAACATAGATACTATACGATTTTGGTCAAAACGTGAACGATATTAGTTCCAAAACTATATTTTGTTACTCTCTCTTCATCTCCATACAAGCGAATATGTTTAGTTATTTTGAATTATCAGCATAATTTTTAATTTAATCAGTCATTTGTTTAGAATACAAATGACTTTAAAAATTCACGCTAAAACATGGTTTTTAAAAATATTTGGTATGATGGTTACAAAATTATTTAATATTGGACTGATGGAAGTTAAACTTGTACACCAACGAACCTCAGTTTACTGATCTAGAAATAAAGCGATAGTTCCACTCTTGGTGATTTTTGAATGTACACTGTTGAGAAGTCTCATACTAGGAAAAATGGTTGTCAAATGCTTTGAAACTTCCAATGATTGCTTAAATTTGATTAGTTTGAGATTTCAATGAAATTTAGCTTAGTTTTTATTACGTGTTGTATCAAAATTCAAGAGGTTAAGAAATAATCTATATTTAATTTGAACTCATTAGATTGTACTCATTATTAATTGGAGAGTAGAGGAATGAGAATAAAGGTTAAAATGTCTTTTGCCAAAACATATGAATGTTAACCATATACCTGTCTTGAATAAAACAGGTGTAAGACTTCTAATTTCTATTTTTTCTTTGAATTTTAATAAGATATAGCTAGGTTGTTTAGTGATTAATTTGAATATATTTGTTCCACTAAATTGGCATGAAGTTGAACTTCGTAAACCACTTGTTATTGAATAATTAGGTTCTTGTAAATATAGATGACCGTATTTCTGTTGTTCCAATAAATAAGCTATTGGACGTACACATAAATCAATATATAAAGTTGGTGACGTGTGACAGGTATTTGTTTACCTTTGTTTGTATTATTGAAATTATAAAAACAATTTTGCTTTTGAGAATATACTTTTTATAATTGACTTTAGTTTCTAGATGATTATATTTGTGATTTGGTTACCATTTGAAAATCAAATGTATGAAAACCATTTTCTTTTTAAGTTCGGAGACATCTTATCATAGTTTCTTTATAAATACCTAGAGATATTCATTTTTCGGAAGATAAATACCTATTACTACATATACCATTCCCAACTTTTCTAGTAAACATCACTTTTTCATCATAGTTTAAGGAGTAGAAGTTATGAAAGTTGAAACATTGATCACTTCATGTTTCCTTTACAATGCTTTTTTTATCATTGACAGGTTTTATCATTTCTTTAAAGATTGCCGAGATCTAACAAATGGAATACATATTATTTCTTTCTTACTTTCGAAAAGCATATATATACATAATTAATTATTAACTTCATTTATATTCTAAACATATTACTATTTATAGATTATTCATTTGTCCAAGTTGAAAGTTATGTTAATTATCAGTTTAGGGGTTGTGGAGATTGTCAAGTTGTTGATTGAGATCGTGAACCGATTAATGTTAGACCACCATTAAAAACCTGGAAGCACTGGACGGCCGTTTTCTCCTATTGTGAGACTTCTCAGCAGTGTGCATCTACGATCCAGCTCGCGGGATTCGAACTCAAGGCCTTCAGTTATGTCAATAACTGAGTATAAATGAACCTATTAGCTTATATATAAATAAAATGAAAGTTATTCAATATAATGAATTTATTATATACTGTAGTAATTAGTGTTAGATCTATTTTGTTTAAATCAATTTTGTGACTATAAATGATCAAGAAAATAACCTAAATCAAATTCATATACATCGACAAAACAATATTCATTGTTTTGTTTTTTAATAAAGTTAGAACAAATATTGATGCACAATAATAATATGAATTCATTATTTTGAATGGAGTTTTGTTCTTTGAGCTGAATGGTTTGGTCATGGAGCTTTCATCGTTCTTTTGAATGACATCATCAGTACAAACTTCAGATAGAAGTAAAGCGTTTGAATTTCTCTATCAAAATCATTCATCTGAGCTACAAATCTTCTTTACCATTTTATGAATTCATTATATTTCGTGGGTTCTCGTCAACTTCTTGCAACCAAATGTGTATTAGAATTTTACATTGAGATAAGAAATAGTATGAAACAATTGACATAAGTGAATGCAACGGATTAAAATGACAAAGGTTATCAAAGATAACCCAGGACCTATCAGTCTCGTGCGTAGTCGCTTAACCATTAGACCACTGAACCGGCCGGTATCCAACGGTGTTAATGTCTAACTTGTAAGCAGCTGACGAGAACTCACGATATATAATAAATTCATATTATTCTGCATCAATATTTGTTCTGCCTTTATTTAAATTCATGAAAGAAATTAATTGCATGAAATTCATTGTTTTAACTTATTCAGTAGTGATATCTCTAACGACTATAATATTTGATGTACATGGTGATAAATATATTCAAGAGATAAATGCAAATTATTATCATTGATAAAACATTAAAATCAATCTAACAAACTGTTCAAATTAGAAAATCGATAAAGAGTTTAGGAAAATGATGCTAAGTAGCACGAACCCCGAGGCTAAGTTTTCCTGTTGACTACCTCCAACCACCATCTAATCTCAGCATAGTGTACACAATGTCAAGTCACCTAGACTAGTGGCCACATTGCAACTTGGTCGATAGCATTCGATCTACACTGAGAAGGACTTGAAACACATGACATTGATCATCACCCAGTGATCAATCAATTGTGATTTTCTCATTTGTAGGTATATGTTTGCTCTAATTTGATTGATACTATTTACAGTGAATGTTTTAGGGTTCTAAATAACTTGTAATTAGTTTTAAACTGATAATATACATATATCAATATAAGACATTCATTATTTTAGTTTACATTATAGATATGGTTATAATCTATAAAGTCATTGATTATTGGACTGAGGAATGTTGTTTGAAAAAGATAACTTGATTAAGGTCAATTAGTTGAAGATGTTGGATAACATAGCTCAAAATCAGTTGCAATGGAGTAGATGTATTTCCTTTTTGTTTTAACTCAAATCTAAAGTTTTATAAATAACTTATATTATTCTGAGAGTTCTTTCTTTTCCATCGAATCATATTGTACCTATAGCTAATGTTCTTATTACCATTAAAATTATTATTCATTTTACTAATCAGGCGTTTTTCTTGATAATTTCATCACGTTGTGGTAATATAGTGAAATAAATTGAACCGATGAACTCATGTGACATGTACTACATTACTTATGATTAGCTGACTGACATCACTAACTAATTATAGCAAGAGAATAATAGAAAACCAGGAAATACTGAATAGCTACTTGGTTTTAGCATGAAAATCTTCAATAGTAATAGTTCAAAAATCCATCAACATTTATTATTATTAATAGTATCAGAATATGGGTTTATAGAGATTGTAGTATTTTTAATAATTGAATTCATCAGTCGATCTAAGTCAGACCACCACTGAAAGCCTTGAGAAACTGAACGGTCATTTCGTCATAGTATGGAACTCCTCAGCAGTGAGCATCAACCATCCCGCAAGAAGAAATCAAATCAAACACCACCAGTTTCGCGCCTGAATGCTTAACCTCTGAACTTCTGAGCCGGCATCCAACGGTGTTTATGTCTAACTTCAATCGATCCATGATCTTGTTCAACCCTTCAACCATTGTCTGAGGTACCTATGTCTTCTTGATACGGATTGAACTCCACCAGTCACGGCTTTTCTCTAGAACTCCAGGAAATCCATTTTGAAGTTAGTCACTAGTGAGTACATGGTGATTGTTATCAGAATGCAGGTTTATGGAGGCCATCTAGTGCTCCCAGGTTTTTCATGGTGATTTAGCTTTAATCGATTCATGAATTCAATTATTAAATTACCACAATCTCTACAAAGCCCCCTTTCTGATTTTACATTATTATTTGACATATTAAAAGTCTAAAATAATCAGTTAAAAAGATTGATCATTCTAGTAAACATTTATATCAAAATGTATTCTTTTCATTCGTCTTATAATTTCCGCTTGCGTTTATTTCATTCAGGAAGTGTTTTGGTTGTGTAAACTATGTCAAAAGAAACGTCAATTGACTGTCAGTTCTGGTAGTTGGTTACAACGTCTTCCTAAAAATAAAAATAATAAACAAACGAAAGAATTACAGAAATTAATACAGGTAAGTTATCATATCAATTTTTATTGAATTATTTAAACGTTTTTTTTTTTGAAGAACCGTCTACAGAAGAACTCGAACTTAAGTTTTCAATGAAAAACTATTGAAAATCAAGAAGCACTGGATAGCTATTTCATCCTAGTATGGAGCTCTTCAATAGTGTGTATTGATGACACATTAATGAGTCTCATGATAAGCTGTAACGACTGTCTATTGTATTTTGGCTTTAAATGTTCGTTTGAACTGTGTCTGTCCGTGATTTCAATAATATTAAACAATTTTTATCAATGCACATATCGACAATTCTAAACCAAATTTGAATCAGCGATGAGTAATCATAGAAATTGGGAAAATTCTTATTGATTTGCTGAGTACTAAAGATAATACTACATTTGTGACTACACTAATAGATATCAAATGTATTGAATAACCAAAGATTTTGAACAGTTATTTTATTCTAGTTTAAGATTAAAGAACCTCAACATGATGAATTCTAAGATATTTTAGTCTTAACGTAAGTATGATACATTTAGATAACGGATTTTGAATACCGACTGTTCTTAAATAAACATAGAAAATATTAAAACCTCTTTGAAAAATTTTCAGTAGCAGTAATATACGATATGCTTTCTTCGTAACTGAATTCATTTTAAGCAAAAGTTTTGGAAAATTGTTTAACATTTATTATGGAGAATATTTTCTGTGATTAGATTAAACAACTCTAAACAGTTTAGATTGATATCATGAATGGATCAATGTTAGACAATCATTGAAAACCTGGAAGCACTAGACTGCCGTTTCGTCCTGGTATGGAACTCCTCAGCAGTGCGCATCCACGATCTTACATATGGGACTCGAATTCATGACCCTAACCTCTAGACCACTGAGTTGGCATCCAACGGTGTTAATATCTTACTTTAACCAATCAACAATATTGCACGACCATCCACCATTGTCTTTAGTGGGTAACTGCCCCACACGCGACACGATTAAACTCCACTGGTCACGGCTTCTTACTAGAACTTCAGGAAATCCATCTTAAAGCTGGTCACTAGTGAGCACATGATAATCATCAGTATAGGGTTTTGGAGATTTTTCAGCTTAGATCGATCGAGGTTAAGTGTTCGCGCATGAGATTGAAGGTCTTGGGTTCGAGTCCTGTATGCGAGATCGCAGATACTCACTGATCAGGAGTCCTATACAAAAATGAAACGAACAACCAGTGTTTTCATGTTTTCCATGGTGGTCTAACAATGATCCTTTCATGATATTGATCTAAACTCAGCAATCTCCATAACCCTATATTGATAAATCTAACCTTTTAAAATCAATGAGTAGAATGCTAGTCGATAGATGAACACAATTGTTTAATCTGACTGAGTGATGGCTACTCTGAAGACTTATGCCCGCAAGCGATCAGAAATCAAAGACAATACCACTAGCCAGATGAATCGATTTTTCATTTGATGAAATAACACGTATACAAAATATAAACACGAAATAAATATGGTCAAACGTCTTATGTGATTATAGAAAATTAGCTTGTAGGTCACTCATTCTCCAATCAATTAACATCTGGTTGTTAGGTGTAATCCTTGGGCATTGTATTAATATTTCATTGGTTCAGTGCATTTCATCAACTCTAAACACTTCAAATTCACAATCAGTAATATGAGTAGGATCAAAGCTATGAAATACTTTAGTTAATGGCATTCAAATGGAAAATATAATAATCATAACTCGATGAAGACATACAAATATAATATTAAACCTTATAACTAACAAGGGATAATTAAAAATCTTTATAATCATTTATTTTAAGAAGGGATTTTGTGGAGGTTTTAGAAATTTCAATAGTTGAAATCATGAGTTAAATGAAGCTAGACTACTATGGAAAACCTGGAAGCATTGGACGGCCGTTTCATCCTAGTATGGGACTCCTGAGCAGTGCACACCCACGACCGTCCAGTGATTCCAGGTTTTCCATGGTGATCTAGCTTCAATTGACTCATGATTTCAACTATTGAAATGATTTATTTGTTTATATTAAACCCTTTTTTTCTTATATTTTTGAAGAAAACCCATGGAATAACACGAACAGCATCTTATTCTCAATATGAAGATTTGATTGATCAGGTTAGTTTAGATGAATCTACAGTGAATAGTGGTGATCAAGATGAACATGTAGGTGAGGAAGAAAAAGAAGAAGAATGGAAACAATTAACACGGAAGGATAATACACAATTTGTAAAATCTCATGAACATTCTATATTAAAAAATATTCATCAAAGAAGAACTTCAGAACAAAACAGTATTAAAGATATGGTTAAATCAACACACCGACTATATCATTCCATTTATGATGATCAAACTGTAAATAATGAAACTAGAAAAGCATCAGTGGGAAAGAAATTTTTACGCCTAAATGATGCTGTTATTCATGATGATGACGATGATGATGATGATGATGATGATGATGATGCTGTTGATAGGGATAATTATAAAAATCTAACATATCAAAATCGTCTGCATTTGTATTTTACAAAACAAATTAGTGAACAATTCAGTGTGGATAATGATGATGATGATGATAATAATAATAATGATAATGTGTATGAGAAAGATGATCAGAAATATGATCTTGTTAATTTTCATGATAAAAGTAATGAATCGAATCAAAATGATCAATTTAATGAAACAATTTTACATAATAATAAATCATCAACTATAGTTCAACAACTACATCATGAAGAATATTATGATGGAATAAACATGATTGATGAAATACAAAAAATTACACTAACTGATATTATGGATGAAAAACCTTTTGAAAGGAAAAAATTTGTTCAATCTACTTATACAAATATTCCTTTTGATAATAATGATCAAATAGTTGTTACATTGTGTACAGGTAAAAAAAAATTTAACTGATTCATTGATAAATGATTAATTATACTATTCAATACAATGTACTTTATATATTAGACAGTACTCAGATATGAAGAGATATCAATTTTTTTCTGATAGTGAAGAGATTATAAGATATCAGGAGTGACTTCAGGATCACATTATCATAGATAAGTTGTCTTAAATATTCTGTCGAGTTAATTGAGATCTCGTTTTGCTTTTGATAACTTACGTCACCTATGGCAAAGGTGAGATATCCGTCTATCAATTAAGGGACGAGTATACTGCCCGGCAGTTCATTCTGTTCTACTTTACTGAAGCGAAACTTGGCCATTAAGAGTAGAAGATACTCGTAATCTATTAGTATTTGACCACAGATGCTTCAGTAATACTGCTCGCATCTACTGGGATATTCGGGTTAGTAATAGTGAGATTAGACGCATGGTATTAAGGAATAATCGTGAATCAGTTGATGGGTTTGTGAATCTTTACTGACTGAGATGATTGGGTCAGGTGTTGCGTATGCCTGAACACCGATTACCACGACGCGCAATGCCGACTAGTGTTGGGGACTGTTTGGAGAAAGTTAAGGCTGGCCAAACCAAAACGTGGCATCGGTCTGTTAATCACTAACTTCTAGTCTGATCTATGTTGGTAGATGCAGACTACTTGTTTGGGGTCCGCGTGACTATCGTAACCAATGATTGGAGACTCTGGGTAACATGGCTGAGAATTGATCACAATGGCGTAGTTGTATATACTCTTTATTTTCGCTTAAAAAATGAGATTAAAATCACTTCATATCTTTCTTTCTACGAAATGATTCTTTCTTCCTGTACTATATCCTTATATACAATCTTTCATTTATATATATTACTATACTATAGTTGTGGTATAATGTATGCCACTTATATCGACATACGTAGTATATGACGTTAGCAGTGAACAGAATGTCTGGCAGCACAAAGACAACAGGATCGAACAGTAAAGAATGGGAACAGAATGCAATTTGTATAAAAATGCACGAACAATGAAGTCTGAGTCATTTTGAGACAACTGATGGACATATTGTAAATTAAGCATTTACTATATGATTGTTAGATTTTATGAATAAGTCCTGTAATTGTGTGTCAAATACATTCGATTGTTCCCACTGGTGTTCTCAGGATCATTCATTTATTTAACAGCCTAACATCCAACTGTCAGTGAACCAGTATTTACCGCTCCAAAGACGTTGAATACAAATTTATCTTCATTCTACTCTTATATATATATATATATATATGACTATATCTCTTAGCCTAATTGACAGAACTGCAATAATGTTTAAATCCGGAAATGGTCAGTTCAAATCTATATGTCATCTAGCTTGCTCTTCTAATCTAGTTTAGTCCATATTCATTAATACATAAAAATAAAATAAATAATTCATTTATAACTAACTTAAATGACCTCAATTAATTTCATTAAGTCATAAACTTGATCAGGTATATCTAAGTTCTTTTTTAATTTTAATAATTCAGTAAATTATATTTCAGTACAGAACAAAAGAGAGTTATATTGTACATTGTCATAAAGTAAATTATTCTATAATATACAATGATCTCTTTTCTAGTTAACTAATTATTCTGTCAAACAATTACCTAGATAAATAGATAATAGAATACAAGATTTTCAGATTTTTCAACGGGTATAATATGTTTATACTATTAATAAAGAATTCAGTAGTTCATACTTCCAACCATATTCAAATCGCTATTTAGCTCGATATCATTGAGATACTAATAGTTTATTAAAGAGATTGTTTTTTTCAATGCCCTTAAGATTGGAAGTACACCATGCTAATAAATGTCAACTAACTCAAACCTAGATCGTAACCAGTGGTTGGAGACTCTGTGTGACATGGCTGAGAATCGATCAAAATGGCGTAGGTGTATACATTCTCTGTCTTCCCTTAAATTTTAAGATTAAAATCGTTTTATATCTTTCTTTCTACGAACTAATTCTTTCTTCCTGTACTATATACCTATATGCAGTCTTTCTTTTATATACTACCATGATTGAATGAACTACTTCTATGAATCCGGTGTTCATCTTGCAGTGTTAATGCCGTATGGTAACTTGAACCGATGCATAAATGTGCCTGATCCTACGTTGTAGCTGACTGACTAACTGAGACTGAGTAGATATTCTTATCAACTGTTTCCAACCATTTAACATATGTTAACATTTAATTTCGTGCATCATTTTTAAAATTAAATTTACGTTATGTATATAATTGTTATGGAAACAATTTAAACAAATAATTAATTCTCTACGTTTATTTCAAAAATATTACAGTCTCACCAACTAACATATTATCACAACATCATACAGATAGACAACAGTTTATACCTGAAGATTATGCTATCTCTTCAATAGATTATCGGAATACTCCTTATAATAATAATAATAATCAAGAACATTTAACTGAGTCTAATTCTGATCAAATTATATTAAATGATCAAGAAAATATAATGGAATCATTTAATTTTTATTCAATCAATCAAAAAAATGATCAATTTAATGAAAATTTATTGATTGATCAAAAGTTACAACCTTCATTAAAACAAAATTCTAATGATGATATCTCAATGAAAAATGTAGAAAAAACAAAAATATTTAACACTTATACACAATCATATGAAGATCAACCTAATAAAATTGGTTTAATTATACCACAATATAATTCAGATGAATATAATGAAGATATTAATACTACTACTACTACTACTACTACTACTAATAATAATAATAATAATAATGAAACAAATCACTTATCTCAATCTTTGTTCACCGATCAAGATTATGAAAAATATTCAAATCATTTACACTTACAATTCAATAATCAATCACGTAGACAATCATATCCAATAATTATTAATGATGATTATATATTATCATCATCTAATCGAATTAATCAACAACAACCATGTTTAACACCAAAATCTAATTATCTTGAAGATGTTCATACTGGTGATCATGATCATGATGATGACGATGATGTTAATGATGATGATAATGATAATGAAGAGAAATTCATTCATTCATATTATGATCCATCTAATTCTTATCATTCCAATAGGTTATCTAATCATGAAATGAATTCAAATCATTTAAATTTATTTTTTCCATATAATTTAAATGAATCATGGGATTATGCTGAAGATTTACGTAAAATAGATGAAAATATATATCAACGTACAAATATTTCAAATAAAACAACTGATTTTAATGATATTACTTATGATAAAATTAATAGTAGTATATTCAATGAAAATGAAAATAATATTATTCCTACTGCTATATCGACAGGAACTATTAATGTAACTTCAATTGAAAGTTATTATATAAATAAAACTATACAATCATCAATTAAAGATCATGATATTAATTATGAACCTTCAATGAATGATCATTATTTAAATTGGTTAAATGAATTAAATTCAAATTATGTTTCTATGAATCAACAAGATAATTTATTGAATACTAATTATAATGTAAATAAACATGAAGATTATATATCCGAGTGTTCACTAATGAGTAATAGTAGTTTACAAGATACATCAGTTTCAAATTCAATGACAACAACAACAACAACCATTACTGGCAACAATAATATTGAATCAACTGAACAAAATCACCTTTTATTAAAACGTTGTCCTAATTTTGAAAATATCAGTCGTTTATCGAATGATAATAATAATAATAATATTCAACTAACGGAGAAACGTAGTAGCTTATATGAAGGATTAATGCAATTGTCTGATATTGTCAATGATGAAAAAGAAGATCTTGAAATGAACAATGATACACCGACAAAAGTATGGGGTCGAGAATTTCGTGATAGACTACAAGTAAATAATCAATTGTTTTTTCTTTGTTGTATGTATGTATGAATTTTTGTGGGTAAGTTGGTAGATGGGATATGATTCTATCATAAGATAGATTTAAGGTTGTCACATTTTTTGTGTTCTATTAAGGCGGTTTAAATGAATATTAAACTGAATAGAAAATAACAGAGAACCCGATATAATTGAAGATTTTCATCGTATATATTAACTTATAGAAGAAACCACGATGAAGGACAACTGGAAAGGGATTAAAGAAGCATTAAATTTAACGTGTCAGAAGGTGCTGGGCCGCAAGAAGCATCATTATAAGGAATGGATCTCTACCGAAACCCTGAACAAGATTCAAGAAAGGACGAACAAAACGACAGCAATTAATAACAACCGAACAAGAGAAGAGAAAGTCAAGGCGCAAGCTGAATACACAGAAGCAAACAAGTAAGTAAATTAGAACATTAGAACCAACAAGCAGAAATTTGTGGAAGACTTAGCAATGACAGTTGAAAGAGCTGCAAGAGAAGGAAGTATGAGACAGCTATATGACGCAACGAAGAAACTATAAGGAAAATATAGTAAGCCAGTGCTACCAGTCAAGTACAAAGAAAGGCAAGACCATCACTAAGATTCGAGAGCTGAGGAACAGATAAGTGGGGTGGTTTGAGGAACTCTTGGATAGGTCATTTCCATTGAACCCCCCGGACATCGAAGCAGTACACATAGACCGCCCTATAGATGTCACTCCACCAACGATCGAATAAATCAGGGTGGCCATCAGATAAATCAAGAGCGGGAAAGCAGAAAGACCTGAAAATATACCATCTGAAACTCTGAAGTCAAACATAGAAGTAACTGTAGACATGCGCCACGTCCTATTTAGGAAGATTTGGGAGGAAGAACAAGTTTCGATTGACTGGAAAGAAGGATATCTCGTCAAGATACCAAAGAAAGGAGATCTGAGTGAATATGAAGACAAACAACAAAGGCATCACACTTCTATCTGTACCACGAAAGATTTTCAACAGAGTGTTGCTGAACCGGATGAAGGATTCAGTAGACACCCAACTTCGAGAACGACATGTAGGATTCTGAAAGCATCAGTAGTGCACAGACCAAATCCTGACTCTACGGATCATCGTTAAACAATTAATTGAATGGAATCCGTCACTATACATCAACTTCCTTGATTATGAAAAAGCATTTGACAGTGTAAATAGGAGAACATTATGGAATATATTTCGACACAACAGCGTACCTGAGGAAATCGTCAACATCACCCGAAATTCGTAAGACAGACTACACTGATAAGTCGTGGATGGAGGAAAGCTGACAGATCCATTCCAAGTAAAAAACCGGAGTCAAACAAGGCTGCCTGCTCTCTCCTTTTTTTTCTTCTGGTGGTTGACTAGATTATGAAGACCTCAACATCAGAGGGAAATCACGGAATACAATAGATAGCTTGCATGCAACTAGACGACTTGGACTTGGCAGAAAGTCCGGTCCTTTTATCTCATACACAAGAACAAATGTAGATGAAGACAATTAGTGTAACAGAAGCCTCTGCATCAGTGGGCCTTAACATGCACAAAGAAAAAAATCAAAATCCTCAAATACAATACGGAGAGCATGAACTCAATCACACTTGATGGAGAAGCTCTAGAGGAGGTAAAAAGTTTCATGTATCTGGAAAACATCATCGTTGAAATCGGAGGATCGGATGCAGACGTAAAGGCGAGGATTGACAAAGCAAGGACAGCATTCCTACAACTGAAGTACGTATGGAACTCAAAACAACTGTCAACCGATATCGAAGTCACAATCTTCAAAACAAACGTCAAAACAATCCTAGTGTACGGAGCTGAAATTTGGAGAATTACTACAACCATCATCAAAAAGATACAAATATTTGTAAACAATTGTCTACGCAAGATACTCAATGTCCGTTGACTGGTATCATCAACAACAACCTACTTTGGTAGAAAACAAAGCAGCTTCCAGCCTAAGAGGGAATCAAGAAAAGACGTTGGAAGTGGATAGGGCATACATTACTGAAATAACCAAACCTTATCACGAGGCAAACGTTAACTTGAAATCTTGAATGTGAACGGAAAAAGAGGAAACAGACATGCAAATTATGAATAGCAACTGAAAAGAACTGGAAAGGATTGTCAAGGACAGGGGTGGATAAAGATTATGCTGGTGGGCGGCCTATGCTCTTCCAGAAGGGGTAACAGGCGTAAGTAAGTAAAGTAATGTTGAATTATAGATGATAAACCAGCGAGTGAGAAAACAATTCAAACAACCAGATCAAATGCCCTAAATGTGGTAGAATGTTTAGGGTTTTAGACTCACAAAGGTGGTATCAATATCATGAAAGTATTTAAAGCTATATTACATAATTCACTTTGTATTGTTTCGCTTGTATCTTCCCATTGAGTTTTTAAGACTGTAATTGATCACTCAGATATTGGCATATGTGCATACTATGCGTATGCCTCGAAACGCGCGTCCTGGATTCTATTGCTAGCCACTATCCATCTTTGCTTATATATTACATAATGTTTGTGATTGCTTTGTTATATCAAATAGATTATTTCTAAATTGATTGATATTATAGGTCACGATTCTGATTTGTAACTTAAATTTTATATCATAAATAACTGTATGTGAAAAACTGAACACATTAAATGTTCACGTGCACTGTCATTTCAAATATCAGATTTTGCTGTGATTTTAGAGATATGGGTTAAGAAAATCACTCTCATTTAACTAACGTTATCAACCAGATGTATTATTGATAGAATAAATAGACTAATAACAAATAAGCTAATTAAATATCTTACGAAGCATTAATGAACTATAATCAGAATAAACTTTACTGGAAAATTCACCATTAATGCATTAGTGTAAACTAATTCTTTAGTGAGTAGTAAATTTTGTTTCTTCTAGCTTCTAATGTTCATCAAAACCTACTGATCGAACTAAAATAAAATCATTACTCTGTGCGACTTGACACTGTATTCAATATGTTTTATTATTTAGTGATTGTCAAAATATCTGTCTATGACAGAGTACTATTACGTTGAATTCCTTTGAAGATGCCACAGGTATTCGGAGTTTGACAACGCTTTAACCAGTAACACCTTCTAATATGAAGCGCACCCACCAAGTAAAATCAAAAGACAGAAGCGAGGAGATCGAAGATATATTTGATAAGCTATCAATATATCGAGGATTGTTTGCACTAATCTGGCTAGCGATTGCGGCAGATGTTGAGCACGGCGTTCCCACACGTGATCTGGTGAGGATGCTTGACCGAGCGCCTTCAGCTAGATGAGTCCACTAAAACTGTGGTCAGCATCCAATGTCGAAAACTTACAGAGCTATTTGGTTTTGGGGAATTATTTACCGCTACACCGTACTGAAAATTATTTTCATCAAGATTATGGAGACGTTTTGATGATGAGTTGCAACTAAAGTCAAAACCTATGTCCATAACTTGCACCTAACATTAAAAGATATTATATGAGGTGCCGATTCATATATACTGTACATTCCAGTCCAACTTGATTAGTATAATTACATCATCACTAAAGATTATATAACTATAATATTGATTAGTAGTCATCAATGAAACGGCTTGATTATCTCTTAACTTTTGAAGGCCTATTTTTTACTCGAATTACTAAGTGATCAAATTTATTAGTGACACAATTTAACGTAGGTTCAAATTCAACACAAAGCGTTCATTCACATGTTGTCGCATAGAACCTATCTTGAAAAATGTCAACTAACATAAAATATAGATTATGCAATAGTTTTGTTGATTGCTTTCAAACACTCGTCATCATCAATTCAATCATTTATCAATACTGATACCATAGACTGATAATTAAAGAAAGTTTATCTGAATTTATTTAAAGTTCAATCTATTGAACTCTGACAGTTTTATATTCATTATTCGATGAAATGACATCGTAGAATAGAAATGTGATGTTTACCGCATTTCAGCATTATCATTAGAGATAAAATCATGTTGATGATAGTATATCCCAAAGATTTAATGTTATTCAATATTTTATATATTCTTTGGTTTGTACATATAATTGTAGGGACTTTTGAAAAATTGTATGTTTACAGTTAGAAATATATATTGGCAAAATTAATATAATTAAAAAAATCTTTAACAGTTGAATTCATAAGTCGATTTAAGGTAGAAAACCATGAAAAACAGCCCGCATAACAATGATGCTACCTTCCCACATGGAAGGGTGTGGTTAGAAAAGGTCGATTCCAAAAAATGCACGCCTCGCTTTATCCCAGAGATTTCCGTCTCCGGCGATAAGGTCCAAACAAGTACGGAGCTAACACAAAAACTATTCGCAAAAGCGTCGTGTGTGACTGGCCTCAAGCAGTTGTCCCTTGGGCACTGCGGTCACGCTCTCAGGTCATTAAGACCACTTCGAACCCAATCTCATTTTCAGGTACCTCTAGAAGAATCCTTCTAAGGTGTGGGCAACCGGGAAGTGATAACCTCCCTGATACCTCTAACAACACTCAAGATCACCATATTTATAATAACCTGGAAGTAGTGGACGGCCTCTTCGTCTTAATATGGGACTCCTTAGTAGTGCTCCCCCACAATCCTACATGCGAGACTCGAACCCAAGAGAATCAGTTTTGGGCGCGAACGCTTAACAAACATCCTTAATATTAATTGATTTTTATAAGTTCTTTTGTTTTTTTACAAAAATCATTAGCTGCATACAGATTACCTGCTTGCTTTTCTATTATCATTCCAAAACATTTCATATTTTAAAAATCAATCAAAATAAAATTGTTTCTTTGCGTGTTACTTTAACTACTGGTTTCATGTTACTATAATCAACTATAAATTTATAAAATATATTTAATTAAAAATGATAATTACTCTGTAATTAATCAATCAGAACAAATCATTTACCGAATCGTTACCAATGAAACAATGATTATTTTATAGAACTAGAATC